CTTGAGCGCGCGGCAACTTGCCTCCACGCGGCTACGCTTAAGTCGGACATGTCCTCTTAAATTGGAAAAAAAACAAATACACCACAACATTGTTTTTGTATAAGAATTGTCGACCATTCCTCCTGTAGAAGGACATGCCCGAGTGAAGGCTAGGCAGGATCGTCTTTCGGGGCAAGGGGCTTCCATGGTTTCTGGGGCCGCGTCCACTCGTGGAGGGCCCCAGCCGAGCCTTCCAAATGCCTTTTTCACCCGCTCGTCTCGTGCCTTCTGCCCCGCGCGTCGGCCAAGGCAGCCTTGCGGTCGGCTTCGGCCACATGTTCCGCCTCAGCAGCCCAACATTAAATGTTGGCAAGCTGCCAGGCAGGGGCATGTCCGTCGCACGTGGTGGCCGCAGTACTGATCACATACTTCCAGGGGACACGCTCCGCGTCGCCCTGGTTCCCTGACCCGTGCTCCACCGCCAGCGGCAACAAGACGTGGTCTCGCCGTAATACATCCACCAGGCGGCGCACCCGGAGCCCAGCACCAGCAACATCATCTTGCCACACATCGACCAAGTGCACGATGTCCGTCAGTGCCAACGCCAGAACTGCAGCAACAAACGGTCGTTCAGTCGGAGCTCCTCTTCCACAGGTGGGCGGTGGCGCGAGCGATCTCCACACGGCGAATGATTTCTGGAAGTGGCCCTTTCCGAGCTTCCAGCTCCCGGCCATGGTATCCGAAGAAGTGGTTCGGGTTGCCTTCGTGTGCGGCTGCAAGGGGGGAGGCGGAATGGGGAAGAGGAAGGGGGAGGAGGAAGGGTTAGATGGAAAGACAGATGCATGAACGATGCTGCAATTCACCCTCCCGTCCCACGCCCCACCCTCATACGCCCCTGGAGGGAGAATGGGGGGAGGAGGAAATGGAATAGGGGGGAACAAGTTGGAGAAGGTGAGAGAGAGAGAGATGAGTAATTGGTTAACAGGTGTACGGGGCTACGGTGTAAAAGAGGTGGAGGTACGTTTGGGTCCTCCTTTATGGGCGTTTTCGCTGGCCGAAGGTCCATAAAGGAGTCCCTTGGCCCTCTCCAGTGCAAATTGACGGCAGACTTGAAAGCTGGCGAACCCAAGCAACGCCATTGATGTAAGCTGCAAGGGGGGTGAAGCTTATTGACGGTCTTCACCAGCGAAGCCTGATGACGGTCCTCGCCGAGGGAAGGGGGGACAAGGAGGATTGGACGTAGCGACGATGCCGTCCGCGATGAATCCAGGTCCTGAGGCGGGAATTCCTGAGAAGGGGGGGAAACACAAAAACGGCACACACGGCTTCGACTCCGAACTGAATAAGGCCTGCGCGCTCGGTATCACACGGCGGGGATAACGAGTGCGCACGCTCAGGCTCAGGTGCCAGTTTGCTGCGTACCCAGGGGTGGACGAAACGTGCTCCCCGCAGGGGCAAACCAAGGGCCCTGGGAACAGCCGCGCCCCACCGAGAACATGCCCGAGGACTGGGAGGCATCCCCCAAATCAAAGCCCAGAAGCCAGCGACGTTGCACCCGAGTCCAGGGCAGGCGCCGTCGATCACGCGGCCAGGACACGAAAGCTTGCACCATGTATCTAAGGCAGTCCTTTGCGATCCCCCCCCCGAGCGAGGGGAGGAAGAAGGAGTCGAGGGGCACAGGACAAGGTCGTCCTGGCGCGCCAGGGCAGAACCCAGGACGACGACGAGGACGAGGGAGACGGGCGAGGGGGAGCCTACCGCCGCCGACCGCCAGGAGAGAACGCCAACGGAAGCAGCCGCCGCCTAGCCGCCGACTTACCACCGGCATCCACCAGGCAAGCCCAGCGGTGGGGAGCGGAAGAAGAGGAAAGGCGTGCTGATTTTACAGCCGTTCGCGTGCCCACCACCGCCATCCGCCAGGAGAGTGCGCCATAATTACATGGCTTCAGCTGCTCATCCGTTGATCCGCCACTGGCTCCAACCCGACCTTGGAACATGGTGCCGCCCCGGATCCTGGTGGAATCTGGTCATCCTGCATAAACTCATCAGTGAGAGGGGGGGAGGTTCTTTTTGCTGCTAGAACCAACCTGGCAAACCTTGCCTTAGTCAGCTTTCGGGGGAAAAATAAGTGGACGGGCGGGCACACTGAGAAGGTGCCTCTACTCGCCCGTCCACTATTCAGTCCACAGCTCTCTCCCAAAAGGCGTCCCGCTCACACAGTAAGAGTGAGCGGCACGCCTCTCCTAGGGACAACTTCACGTTATAAGGATGTCTGCATCGGCGCAGGAGCGAGCGGCGATACTCGGCGGTGGCGTTGGCGGGCCGACCAACACACACACACACACACCTGCACCAACTTACATCCCCGCTCGCTCGAAAAGACACCGCACCTATCGCAGAAAGTAAAGTGGCCTGCGCGGTGCAACTCATGGCCCAGGGCCTCACCGCGCAATGCTGGTGGGATAAGGTGCTCCCTTTCCCCCCGCTCTACGACGAAACGACGATCCACCCGAACCTTCCC